CAGCCCCCCGCCCCGGCCGCCCGGGCTTGTAGCGGCAGGGGGCAGGGTTCGGCAACCGCTCCCCTCCCGGCCCCCTCCTCCCGCCGCGGGGCAGGCAGGGCTCCCCGGGCTCACCTTGCTCTCCTGGTTCCCGTAGGCGAGGAGCTGAAGGCAGTCGGTGGTGATAGCCAGGAACTTGGGGTTGTTCTTGTTCAGCAGAGGAACCATCTTCTGCAGGCCGTCGGCCAGGCGCACAGCCATCTTGGCCCCTTCCTGGTAGAGCAGCAGGTTGTGCAGGGTGGTGATGGCGTAGAAGAGGACCGACTCGACCGGCGAGCTGCAGGCAGGCGGCACAGGGCCATGTCAGCACGGGCAGCGGCCCCCAGGCTCACACCGCTGTCAGCCGGGCTCGCAGGGCTGTCCCCAGCCCCAACTCCCACCCAGCACCCTCCAGCAGGATGCAGTGGGCCACGGTCCCTGGGGAAGGGACACCTCCTCCTCGGGGACTGAGCATCTCCATGAAAAAAGCAGTGTGGGGGACCACTCCCCTCCTCCTGCCCCCACACAGGCTCCAAATGCAGCAAACCCCTGGGGCTTTTGCAGGCTAAAAGGCACCTCAAGGTCTCCCACTCCCTTGGTTTGGGGTGAGCAGGAGGAGGACTCACACCTAGGGGCAGCATGAGCCCTCCCGCCCTCCGCCCCCAGCCTGGCAGGGACCACTCAGCTCTGCCATCCTCCCGGCATCCCCGTACCTCAGCATCCTGACAAGGGCTGGGATGCCACCGGACTTGAAGATGGAGAGCAGGCCCTCGCGGTGGTGCGAGAGGTTGTGCAGGATGCTGGTGGTGCAGCGGGCTGTGTCCAGGTCACTGGTGCTCTGCATGGTGCGGACCACGGCCGCCACGATCTGGGGGGACTGCATCAGGGCACGGCGCGACGCCTCCTTCTTGGAGAGCTGGTTGACAACCATGGCTGCTTTGCTGACAACTCCCTGGAGGGGAGGAGAGAAGCCGGTGGGTGGGATGGGGGTCCCACCGCTGTCTATCACAGCAAAGACCCCACACATTGTGCCAGGCAGGGTGGCACTGGAGCAGCAGTGCAGACAGGGATTGCTATTTTTAACACACCCCAATCCATGATGTTCCAGGAGCTACGGTGCTCCAGGAGCCACGCAGCAGTGGGCAGCATATGGTTGGGTCCATGGAGCACAACCCATGGATGGGCAGGGGGAGGGCATGGGGGACCAGAGCACCAAGACCCGGCAAGAAGCACCCGGTGCAAGGGCAGGGCAGGAGAGCCGTGTCCGAGCAGCGCGTCCGGGCTGTGAGGAGGTGGGTGGGCAGAGGGGGGCTCAGTCCTGCTGCAGAGAGACAACCGCTGAGCTTTGCCAAGAGGAAGGAGGCAGACAGCAGCGGTGGAGCCCTGCAGGGATGGGAGCATGGCTGTGTACGCCTGGCAGCCGAAATCCCAGCGATGTGCAGGCAAACCACGCTTCCTTACCGGGTCCTCATCGTTGAGCAGCTTGGTGAGCTCCGGGATGGCACGGGTGGCCAGCTCGGCGTCGTCCTGGTAGTTGATGAGGTGCACGATGGCCGATTTCAGCATCTGGGAGGGCTCAGCCAGGCGCTGCACGTTGGTCTGCTGCCCCTCCAGCTGCGTGGTGATGAGCAGCGAGCGGTCCTCCACCGTCTCGGGGTACATGGCAGCCCGAACGCGCTGGGCACGGGTCATGGCCAGCTGAGCCTCCATGTCGGCTGCGGGGGTAGGTGGGGGAGGCAGCGTTAGGCTCTCTCCGAGGAGCGTTCCCAGTCCTGCTTTCCCATTTCAATTAGCTGAGCAATAGCTCAGCGCAATGACACAGGCAACGTCAGCAGTCCCAGCACGTTCTGCAAGGAGCTGGTGCTTCAAAGCGTAAACAGATACGGCCGCGCAGAGATAAGACAGCACTCCATTAGGCAGCTGTCACACAAGGCCCACTAATTAAAAAATTAAGGATATTTGCAACTTGGGAGCAGCTGGCACTGGGGATTAGAAGGACACGGGGGCCTTCCCCATCGAAGATGCTGGGAGAAGCGAGACCCGAGGGGCAGAGATGCTGGAGCTGCCACCTGCAGACCCCACCTCTACGGTGCAGAGACAGCATGGGGCTTGGGGGGGGCTTGTGCCTCTCCATGGGGCTCTGCCTCCCCGGGTTAGCTGGCAATTAAACCTGCCACGGCCCAACGCTGACAGGGGAACGTAGAGGGGAAAGGAGCAAACCAGCCCCTCTTTTAAGTGACAAAGCTGGGGGAAGCATCTCCTTCGGCTCTGGGGGCTGCACCTCCGCCTGCTTCGCTCTCCCAGCAGCGGGAGGCGACAGCCCGGCCGGTGGGGCTTTACGGGACACACCAGCTCTGCCAGGGGACTCAGCACACCAGCTCTGCCAGGAGACACAGAGACAGGTTTCCCGAGCAGGCAGCAGAGCAGACGAGCCGATCCGTGGGCTGGGATCAGCTGTTCCTATCACAAGCCAA